AACAAAGAATTTTCCATATTAACACTTAATAGCATGTTACAATTATTATTATTTTACTGTAAAGTCATAAAAGACCCTGTGTTACATTTATTTTAAACCAGAATTTTTTTTTCTTTCCTAATAACTCGCAACAAGCAAGGTGTGGAACCAGTGTATCTTTTCGTAGTTATTGACAATTTTTTAGGAGTGACAAAAAATTGGCACTTTTGGGGGCATAAGAGCAGGAAAACAGGGGCTTGACCATCCCAACTCCCTCTGTGCACCTTGTTACGAGATGAAAGAAATGTGATAAGTTTATGAATTTTACTAAAAAGTTCCAACGCACAACAATGAACTCGAAGTAACACACAGACACAACAATGAACTCAAAGTAACATACAGACACAACAACGAATTCGAAGTAACACACAGAAATCTTATGTGTGCCAAAAGTCTTCAAACCTTTGAAACAACAGCAAAAAAAATCTATGTAAACCAGACTTTTTTATTGTGTGTTTAAAACTAAGCATAATATTTTATTTGTTTGTTGTTAAGCGAAAAGCTACACAGTAAGCTATCTATACCGTGCCACCCACGAGTATCAAAACCCAGATTCTAGCGTAATAAGCCTTCAGACTTAACACTTAGCCACTAATGAACATAAAACATAAAACTGTTTATCTATAAACGTGTCACCGAAGTTGTTAATGCCTCAAATAAAGAACTCACTAATGAGTGTATCACACTACTGAAAAAAAAGGCTTAATTTCACAATGATTCCCTGCAATACTCTGATAGTTTAGATGATTATTGGTATCTAAGATGCCGTTAAGTAATCATCCAACTATAACAAACAGTGGAAATGAAGCAAGATATCTTATAAGTTATCTCTAAACCATAATAAAGCAAAACGACAAGTCCTGAATACGTTTGAAAACCACAAGAATATTGTGATCATGCCCTCTAACAAAGAAACGTAGGTAGTGTAGTTATGTATAAAGAAGATGAATGTAAGGCGATGGACTGATATACTGACTGACTCTTATGACCACAAAATTGTCAAAAATCTCCATCTGAAATTAGAGTTGAATCCTGAGACTAGAATATTGTCAGTCTACATCCAAAATTAGGTTTCTTTCATAACAAACCCTAAGAATGCCAGCGAACACTCTGGTTGTTTGTGGTTTCACGTGTCCACTTGTATTCTGTCATTTTCCTCCAGGAGCTGGAGTCAGGCACCATACGGCCGCTACAGGTCGATAACAGGTGTCGGAACGTTAAAATTGTGATTTTTTTTGCCGTATTTCACTTGGTTATTAAGATACACAACATGCTATTAAAACACTTAATGAAATACATTTTACAGTTGATAACACATACATTTTTAAAAGGCATATTATTTACATGATTTTAAACAAAGTTCGCTTTTTTAGTTCTTCATTTTCACAATACACCAGATGTGCAATACATTATAAAATCAAAATTGTTAACATTGTTTGGACACTATTTATTGTTGCTAAAACTGAAGTTGAAGACGACTTAAAGTATTATTTATATGATACTCAGTTGTTTTTTTCAACTTGCTGCTTAATTAAAAGAAAGTTCAGTTGCGTGTTTTCTCTCAGTAATATACGTGCATTCATTTTATTACTAATGGAAGCAAGTAAGTAGTCTCAAATAATTAATTTTTAGTTATAAATGGACTTACAAAAATGTAAATCAACTTTCAAATATGAGGTATTTACCCTCTTGATGACATCATATGCCGGAAACATTTTTGCAGGGGACCCTATGAAATTTAGTACTACATCACTGTCTAAAACATTTGATATGTATTTTTTTATGGAGAACTGAAGCAGATAAAAACAGTCCTTAGAAAAATAATTGTATATATATATATATATATATATATATATATATATATATATATATATAGAAGAGATAGTATCGACCTATACAACAACGACGTACCTTAATTAAACGAACACAACTAAAAGTTGTACGTACTATACAAACACGTA